GTTTACATGCTTGACAAATATTTGATATATTTCTTATAAACTCTATAATAAGGCTTTTCATGACATTTGTACCTTGAGCATAATTTACATCAATATTATTCAAATGTTTGTCCTTAGTGGTTAGTTGAATTACATGCATTGGTGCTTGAAGTAATCTCATTTATAATTTGAATTCAATGATGCTCATACTTAATTTTACATCTTACATTGCATGATTCAAAGAATGAAATGAGATGGCCATTAGCTAAGGCAACACACTTATCAAATGTAGTAAGCTAATTGTTATACATTCCTAAGGTTAAGAAAGTTTTACACTACATTCCACTAGAGAAAGGCATTCATCACAATGAATCATAGTTTGCTCTGGGGAAAAGAAAGAGTTAGTATCTAACTATTGTCCATAAGGGATATGGCTTGTACTCTTTATACTGTGCTTATTGAAAGAAGTTATTATGTAACCCTTGAATGGCTAATGAATTGTTTCTTTAGCAAGATAAAAAGACAAATAAAAGCCCCCAAATACTTGGGTAACACCAAAGTTTACCAATAACCTCCTTTTTGTCAATCACATTACCAAAGGCTTGAATTGTAGTGTAACCTTTGGGTTTCAGGACTTGGACACGGGGAAGACTGGACGTGAGGATAATGGCTTGTATTTGCTGAACGCGAGGCCAACTTCTTATTATGTTGAAAATCAATCTAGTGTTATGGTAGCACTCTTTTGCTGCCACCTGATCTCCCCATATGTCAATAATCTCTCGCCCATTGGGGCCAACGCATCTCATGACTTGATGTAGAGTCAATGGGACTCCCTCCATTCGATGGATCCATCCTCGACCCATAAGTAGGTTATAGGTCGGGTGGATGTCTACGATCATAAAGTTTTCCTTCAAAGTTCTTTTGGCCGCAGTGACCAACAATGTGATCATGCCAATAGGTTCTACCATTCTTCCATCGAACCCTACCAAGGGGTTGCCGGTGGGTAGGACCTGATCTAGGGCCAGCTTCAGCTGGTCGATTGTCCATTTTGTTATGATGTTGGCACTGCTGCCAGGATCAATAAGTTCGCGCTTGACCAAGCAATTCGCTACTAGTAGGCTGATCATCGGTGGATCTTCATGTGGGTGCTTTACCCTCTTGAGGTCTCCTTCATGGAAGGAAATCTATGCATAGTTTAGCCTACATTCGACCGCATTGATCTCACCTACCCTTCGTAGTTTATGTGCTTGCTTGAGTTGAATCCTGTAGGATTTTTCAGGCTGTTCGTCCTCTTCCGGGCGGCCATGGATCATGTTGACAACCCAAACGGGTTGACTATCTGTTGCAGCATTTGGGGTTGGTCTGGCTTGCTCGGATTACCTCTGCTGGCCTGAGTTGGCTAGATAATCGGTTAGTTTGCCTTTGGTTATTAATGCCTCCACCTGTTTTCTCAAACTCCTGCAATCATTGGTTAGGTGCCCAAAATCACTATGGAATGCACAGTGCTTACTTTGGTCCCTCTGTTCCAGCTGTTTGATTGGTAGAGGGATTTGAAAGATGTTTCTGCCATTTGTCTCCTGATACAATCTTGCCAGTGTTACTTTGAGAGGTGTTACCTTCTCAGTCGTTCGGGATTTTTTCTCAGGAGCTCTTCCTTCAATGCTCAGGGTTCCCGTTGGGCTCTTGAGGTGCTCGGGCGTTCCTTCAGTCGACTTTCCACCATAATCAGAGTCGCTCTCTGCTATTTTGTCATTTCATTCTCTTCAAATCTAATGTAATTTTGCGCTCTTAAATTTAACTCCGACATGTTGGTTGGAGTCTTTTCACCAACGAAGAATGAAAACGCGTACCTTGTACCATGGCTATTTTGAATGCTTCTATGGCAATGTCTTGGTTGCAATCCGGGATACCCGAGGATTCTATGTTGAACCGAGTCAGAAAGGTTTGTAGGCCTTCCTCCTTCATTTGCCGAATTGTGAAAAGACTGGCGGTGGTCTTTTTCTATTTCTTGTTGCCGCAATACTTGGCTAAGAAAGCAATACACAATGCCTCGAAATTTGAGATTGATTTGCATGGCCGGTTCTTGAACCATTCCAGGGCCACTCCCGTCAAACTGGACGGACATATTTTGCACATAAACAGATCGTTTCGCGCCTCTAGGGTCATCTCCTAAGTGTAGCGAATTAGGTGCTGGAGGACGTCTCCAGTTCCATTGAATTTGATGAACTTCAGCATAGTGAACTTTTTAGGCCTTGCAACCGGTTCTATTTTAAAGGGAATTTTGATTATTGAGGCGGTGAACTCTCTCGCCATGTCTTCGGGTGTTTGGGCCTTCAGCCTTTTGATACGTTCATCCATTTCCCTTCGGAATTTTGTGATGAAGTCACTCCCTAGCGATTGCCAATGGGGACCCACGCATCTTTTCTTCCTGACTCAGCATGATCTTCTAAGGTTGGGACCTTGGTGGTTCGAGGTTCTCCCATTATAGAGTTTTCCGGGATGCGGGATTGGCTCACTGTCTCTTCGGCATCATTTCAATCCAAAGTGTCATTTTGGACGTTGAATTGCTACCATGGAACCCTCTGCTGCGGAGGAGGATTATTGAGTCCGGGCGCCAGGGGTGGATTTGCTGGCTCATTCTGGCATTCGAGTCGTAGGGCGATCAGTGGATCATTCTGTCGAGCATCGACTCGAAGTCCTTCCTTTTCCTGGCGCAGAGCATTGATTTGTGCTATGTTGGCTTTGTTAGCTTGTTTGAGTGCGTTAATCTGCTCGGCGCTAGCTTCATTGGCTTGCTGAAGGACGTCAAATTGTGCCTACATCTCTTCATGCATCTTTTGAATGATTTCTTGCTGTTGTGCTCGTGCAGCATCTGATCCTGTCGCCATCCCGGAGCGATGTCGCATGAAAGTGAGTGAAAAGGCTTTTTGTAAACGATTCCCACAGACGGCGCCAAAGTGTAGGTGCAATTTTTCACACCCGAACACTTGAGAAAATTTACTGAAAAAAGATTATGAACAAGAGAACAAAGACACACAGATAAAATTGATAGTGAGAGCTATATCATTGGAATTCGATCTTCTTCTATTCTTATTCATGCTTTACTTATAAGCCTATACAGAGATTTACATGGAACCGTTACTGGCGGTTTTTGGACGTGGGCGTTTATGGCCCTTATATTGCAGCCCTCTCTTTTATGGTGGGCGTTATGAAAATTTGAGCTTGTCGAACTTGGGCCATTCCCTGGTCTTCTTCTTGTTAAGGGGAACTTCCTTCGTTAATAGGGCTAACTTAACATTTTTTTGGACCTTTCTTATTACGCTTCTGGCTTGTGTTAGGCTTCAAGGCGATTTTGGTTAGTTATTTATTGATACGTGGTGTATTCTGATTGGTGGGGAATTTACCCTCCACAAAGTAAGTAGATCAAATTTTACTTGAAATTCACGATTGTTGAGTCTACCTCGGTCACTGAATACGAACTCCTCATCATCAGAAGAATCATTGAAATAATCCGCATAAGCTGGAGGCCTACATGGATAATCAAGAACATAACCCATATCCAGTTGGCTGCGAGACATGTCATCAGCGCAAACTCGAACTGAACCACTAACCTAGTTGCCACCAATTCCAAAACCAGTTGCTACAACTGATCTTGAATATGCATGGCTGCCCAAGGGGCCTTCACTCTGTGATCATTGTCGGCAAAGTGGGTGCTATCAAAATGAGCAATCGTCGTCAACCCAGGGTAAATCAAGGCTCTAATACCAACTGACGTAAGCGGAAGCGATAAATTTGTTCACAAGGAACGGGTTACTTAGAATCCACAAAGTAGGGTGTCTTGAATCTACAAAACAATAGATAAATTCAGGTAAATTTGATATTGTATTGAATAATTGAATGAATAAATTAAATTCTGCATTTTGCTATACACGTATTTATAATAAAAGAAAACCTAACACTAGAAGGAAACTAAAAACACAGGGAAACTAATCCTAAAAATAAGCCTAAAAATAAATTCTCTCTAAAAATTCTAAAAAAAATAGATAAAAAAACCTAATCAAATAAAACTACTAAATATAAAATCTCAGAGCATTCCGACTTCATTAAGGTCTTGAACAAAAATCTGAAATAATTAACAGCCTACATCAACAACTCTCCAAGATTAGTTGGTTGGTGAATTCTCTTATAATATTGTACACTACATCATATGTCAGTCAAACGAATAGCACTTGCTACCTTTGAATTTATCTTTGTCTCCCTTTTTATCATCCATCGCCATTGGTTTGTCGTCCAATGCCTCTTCTAAACCCTGCTAAACAAATAAATCTTGCATCCAAACTTGCCAAAGATGAAGTTCTTTCTTCCATCAAATTTTATGACCGCGTACTTTACATCTGTACTAGTTGCCGCCATGGCTCTTATACCACTTGTTAGGAATTAATCCCCCAGGATCTCACACAACAAATATGCAATGGCAACAAAGAAAAAATAAGAAGGAAAGCACACACGCAAATAAGACAAGATTTACATGGTTCGGCAAATTGCCTACATCCACAAGCAAAGAAAGAGTAACTTTTTTTATTCAAAATATGGAGATTACACACACTCTCTCTTCTACTCTCTCAACTCAACTCTCTCACAACTAAACTCACTCTTTCAACACAAAACATGACTTTATTTATAGAGCTCCTAGCCCTAACTTAGTGAGGAAAAATGCAAATCCTTGTTGGGCAAGGAATGGAACCACTTGGGGCTCAAGTATAATTACTTTGGGCCCAAGCAAAATATTCCAAAACCGATACAACTCAACCCCCAACCCAATAAGAATTTGAGACATACATAACGAATAACAATATAAATTTTAGCATTAATTTCTGGCTGCAGGGAAAAAGGGGTTCCATGCAACCAAGACAATAGTATCTGAAAATTTCCATATATTTAACCAATAAAAATATAATAGTAACTTTCTCAAAAGCTTACATGGGTGTATTCAATAATACAGAGGGCAAGAGTAGCATTACCTCAAAAGCGTCTGGACTTCTGTTGTTGAGGGTATCCGGTCATTCCCATCCCTTGGTCTTTCCTTCTCAACTGTTCCAGAATAATGGGATATGCATCAGAAAAAATAGGAATAAACACATCCATGACAAGACAAGTTCAGGTTGGACTGACATAACCTGCTGCGGTTGATGAGCCTGGGCAGCAACACCCCGCTGCATTGGAATGCTACCGGGATTCATTCCACTACCAATCCCACCCTGAGAAGTGAGATTATAAGCTGTCATGCCCTGAGGTTGCATCCTTTGCATGCCAACCATTGACATTGGTCGAGGAACAGATCTGTTTGGCATTACATGGGGACCTGCCATGCTCCCGGAAACTGCATTTCCAGATGATACCTGGTAAAAAGAACCAAAATATGACGGACAAATGCTTGAGTACACATTTCAACATGGAAAAATAAACTTTTGTTCTCTTGATTGAAAATGTTTGGAGTGATGCAGTGGTGCTCCTTGTACTCCAGAATCATTGTCTGTGAGACAAGCTGAAAGGCTGTATATCATTTACGAGTTCCGGCAAAGAAGACAAGGCACATAATAAAATTTTGAACAAAAATTATTATTAATTATCGATATAAGAAGTGGAAGAGACTCAGGTTCACATGTCTGATAGGAGTACAAGATGTCTAACACTCCGTTGCAAGGATCTTAAAATGTGGGTGACTCCAATCAAAATCTTCGTTATAGAATACCAAACTAGCTAGAGAAGAATCTGGGTAGTAATAATCTCAGTTGTTTCAACTATGAAATCATTTACACATACATAAGTGAGTGGAAAAAGTTTATAATAATCAAATAGTGGCTACTCTCTTGCCCAAGTTTTCAAATATGTAGGAAGAACCGAAGAACTACAATCTAAATCTAATTATTTGCATAGAAACTAGAAAACACTACTAGAAATAACTTTTTACCCTATATATAGTTTGTAAATTTCTTTATCATTTCTCCACAAACCAAGGAATGCAATTTTTTTTTTTTTTTTTTATAAGTTAAAATGTATTAGAAGCGTTCAAAAGGGGAATGCATCCGAAGAATACATAGACGCTGGAACCCCAAAAAAAAGAAAAAAACAGGGATCCTAAGGGACCCAAGGAGCCCAAGAAAATCAACAATCTCCTCAATGGATGTACAATTTCTCCCCATCCCCCAACAAAACAAAGAACTAACAATGCGGAATTTTAAAGTTCCTATGGGAGATTCCTCCCCATCAAAAGATCGACTATTCCATATTTATATTTTTATCAACATATTAGAAGAAAACACACTCCCAGATGCAGATGAACAACGCTATAAACTCAGCCACGGAGAAGCTCCATCTAGTGGAATTCTAGTATTTTATCCAGTATAATAGGGAAATCCAGGCATCTTTCTCTGAAATATTTACCTGAACATTTCCACTTCACAACGTTATTGCATTATACTCTTACTTCAACTTCGAATGTTAGCCTCCACGTTCTGGAACACCGATGAGAAAATCCTAATCCTAATCGCTTCTCCAAGAATGATTGGAAAACCATAAAATGACTCCAAGGATTGGAAAGAGAGTGAGTGAAAACATCACTTACAAGATCGATCATATACTAGGCTCCATTGTGACCTGTAGGTCACAGGTTCAAAACAAGGAAAATGCCTCTCTACAGCGGGGGTAACGCTGCGTACATCTAACCCTCCCCAGACCCTGCAATGGCGGGAGTCTTGTGCACTTGGTCTGCCCCTATTTTTGGACCAATGTGGGTAAAGTTAGGCCAGAGGTCAACACCAGCTCGAGCAACATATAACATGCAGCAATTGCTAAACCCAATCAATACTCAAGTCATTTAAATGCTTAAAACCAAATTGCACCTAAAGAGCAACACAATAGGGCCCAAATTATAATAGCAAAAACCTAAAATTCTAAAAGATCAGACGTAAATAGAGAAATATCAAATAAAAGACTTCTAATTAACACAACTCAACAAACCTTACAACCGTTGAGAGGTCCGCTACAATAACAATCTTTTCAAGTCTGCTATAGAAACATAACCACTAACATTCCATGCAACCTTCTTGCGGATCCCATGTCAAATAATCCTCCATCAGTCCATTGTGATTCGGAGTCTTCCATTGTTGAAGGTTAGTGATGTTAGGAGGCATAACTTAATTAGTGGAACACCAAAATTCCAACTCAAATTTATACACAATCCTTATAAAGTTCATTACATCACCTAATCCAAAATCCAATATCTGCATCAAATTCATCCCCACAATATTTACTATTGAAATTAGCAATCAAATATATTCCAAATGATCCTTGATTTTCTGGATACCTTCAATAGCTCTTTATCACCTGTAAGTTTATTTTTCCAGTGATCTCTTTGTAGAAGTTAGGATTTTTACTAACATAGAACACCAATCCCAGTTACAGGCACCATGATTATGCCAAGCTCACTGTTTCACAAATTTAGATCTTTTAGGATACAGAGGATTTTAAATAAGAAAAGGAGGAAGACAACCATCAAGCTAAAACCCTAAGCTCTAGCTTGCATGATTCAGTTAGTGAACGAGGCATCATGAATTTCTTAGTTGACCCCGTGGAACTCAGTTTATTCAATCCTATGGTAAACGATACTGTTAGAATGTTTATATATATATATATATATATACTTATGTTGGGTCATCATGTAATTACATATAGTTGGTAGGGCCCTTGTGTTATTAGGTTAGTCTTGTATCTTTATATAAGCCTATGTTGGCTTAGGGTTAAGTGATACATGAAAGATACAGATGTCTGCACTCTCTCTCTCTATCTCATGATTTTGAATATGGTATCAGAGCTATACGAATTCATGGGTGTGGGAAACTATAATTGTGTTGTTCTTGTATAAGATCAGAATCATGATCGGAATCACGATTGTGGTGTTGGTGTCTATGCCTCGTTCGTCGTCGTGGGCAGGAATAAAAGCTCTTCATTCATCGTCGTCAGATCTGAAGCCTCGTTCGTTGTCGTCATTGCCGCTTTGGTTGTCAGCAAGCTCGCCGACATCTACCGTCGTTATTTGCAGAGGTGAGGTTCATTGATTCGTGGTTCTTTTTGGCCGGAAGTTGCAGAGGTTTTGATTCGGTATGGTCGCTGCTTATTGATTCGGCCGTTGCTTGTGATTGGGTCGCCATTGCCTCCACTGTGTTGTTCCCCGGTGTCTGTGAAGTTGTGAAGAAGAAGAACCGTGTATGGCTACACGATTATGCTATTCCAACCCTAGTTTACTAAACCGGATAGCCCAGATCCGACCCGTTTGCCCAGATCCGGCCCATTTGCCTATATCCGGCCCGTTTTCCAGGTTCGGCCAGAATACATATTCTGATTTTTTTTTTCTTTTTTTTGGGTTCAACATGTCGTCCAATTCAGATTTGCTTTCTCCCATATCAAGTTGTCATTCTCCCATGACTTCTGTTAAACTCAATGGGAAGAATTACATATTGTGGGCTAAATCTGTTACAATTTTTCTCAAAGGTAAAGGTCTTGGTAGCCATCCGACTAAAGATAAACCAAAGGAAACTGATGCTTCTTTTGATGCATGGGAAAAGGAAGATGCTCAGACCATCTCTGTGATGTTAACCAGTATTGAACCCCAAATAAGTTCAACATTACTTTATTTGGATACTGCAAGGAAATATGGGAGAGGTTGAAGCAATTGTATTCTGGGACAGGTAATATCATCCGTGTTTATGAGCTCTGTAAGCAGTACTTCAATCTTGAACAGGGAAATCACAGTATAGAAGAGTATTATTCAACAGTTATGGGAGTCTGTGAGGAGTTGAATATGTATCAGCCCATTACTTCTGATGTTAGAAGTATGCAACAACGCGAGGACTTTAATGTTGTCCGCTTTCTTACTGGTTTGTCATCAGCATATGAGCCTATTCGTGCACAAATTTTGGGCAATCCCACACTTCCGTCTCTTGCTGATGTGTTTTCTCGACTCAGTGAACTACACTTGCAAGTGGCACCTCAAATTTGAATAATGGGCAGAGTGGTGAGTGTTCAACATTGGTAGTTTTAAAGGGTGAACATAATGCTTACCGTGGAGGTCGTGGGGGACGCTCCACATATGGTAGTCGTGATTCACGGGGAGGATGTGGCCGTGGCAGGGAATCACGAAAATGTACTCATTGTGGCCTTTCTAATCATACTGTGAATTTTTGTTGGGACCTTTATGGCAAACCATCTAGTTATGCAAATCAAGCTTCCTCTACAAATGATGTTTCTTCTGGATCTCACCATGTAGCTGAATCAGATACGATCACTGTTCCACGTGATGAGTATACTCAGTTTTTGTCTTATCAGCAAGCATCTAATTCATCTTCATCTTCCACGGCTACTTTGCCAAGTCAAGTACTGCACCCACATGTCTATTATCTTCCACTCGCAGTCTTTGGATCATAGACACTGAAGCATCCGATTGTATGACTGGATGTTCTTCTCTTCTATCTGACTTTAATTATGTACCTCCTTCTCAAAGTGTTACTCTTGCTAATGGTTCATCCACTAAGGTTTCAGGTTTGGGGACAACTCAACTTAGTGATTCCTTGTCTCTCTCGTCTGTTTTATATGTTCCTCAGTTTCCCTTTAATTTAATGTCTATCAGTAAGCTTACTAAATCTCTCCAGTCCTCTGTTACATTTTATCCTACTTCTTGTATGTTTCAGGATCTCAAGACGAAGAAGACGATTGGTACGGGGCATGAAGCTGGTGGCTTATATTACTTTGATTTTGCACCTTATCCTATGGCTCTTCAGTCTTCTCTGTCTCCATTCTAGTGGTATTGTCATCTTGGTCACCCGTCACTTCAAGTTTTGCAACGTCAAGTTCCTCGTCTTAGTCAGTTGAAGTCCTTGTCATGTGAAGTTTGTCAACTTAGCAAGCACCATGGCGTGTCTTTCAAGTCTAGGGTTAATAATCGTGCCTCTATTCCTTTTCATTTGGTTCCTTCAAATGTATGGGTCCAATAAAGTATTCTTCAATCAATAAATTTCATTATTTTGTGACATTTGTGGATGATTATTCTCGCCTGACTTGGTTGTTTCTAATAAAAGATCGTTCTGCGTTAATTTTAATTTTTCAAAAATTTCAAAAAGAAATCAAAACTCAGTTTAGATGCCCGATTTGTGTTCTACGTTCTGATAATGCTAAGGAATATTCTTCAGCCCCCTTTGATACATATTTTAGTGATAAAGGAATTATTCATCAAAATTCATGTGTTTATACTCCTCAACAAAATGGAGTTGCAGAACGTAAGAATCGGCACCTATTGGAAGTAACTCGTGCTCTTTTGTTTCACATGCGTGTGCCTAAACGTTTTTGAGGTGATGTTCTTCTTACTGCGTGTCATCTTATTAACCATATGCCGTCCTCTGTATTAGATGGCAAATCTCCACATTCTATTTTATTTCCTGATTCTCCCTCCTTATTTTCTCTTACTCCTAAAGTTTTTGGATGTGTATGTTATGTCCACAATCTTGGTCCTGGTTTTGATAAACTAGACCCACGTGCCACAAAATGTGTATTTCTTGGATACTCTCTTTCTCAAAAAGGTTATCGCTGCTATAGTCCTGTTTCTCAACGGTACTTTATTAGCGCTGATGTAACTTTTTGTGAGTCCACCCCATATTTTTTAGATACTAATTCACTTCCTGATATCACTCCTAAGTCGCCTCTTCCTGAGGTTCCTCTTCCCTCACTCTCTCTTCAACCTAGCTCTCATTCGACTGCCCCATTACAGGTCTACACTTGAAGGCCAAAGCCGTCTGCTATCATGCCTCCTCAGTCTTCTTCAGAGTCTTTGGATCCAACACCATCCACTGTGTCTGATTCCTTGCCTATTGCACTTCGTAAAGGTACTCGATCTTGTGTCACTAATCATCCCATTGCCCATTATGTCTCTTATAATTCCTTATCGCCATCCTTCTCATGTTTTTCATCTCGGTTGTCTACCACATTTGTTCCTAAGACTATACAGGCTCCTTTGTCTGATTCGGGCTAGAGGAAAGCAATACAAGATGAAATGGATGCTTTGCATCAAAATGGCACGTGGGATCTTGTTCCATTACCTCCAGGTGCCAAACCTGTTGGTTGTCAATGGGTATATATTGTGAAGTATCTTCCAGATGGTTCCGTTGAACATTTAAAAGCACGTCTTGTTGCCAAAGGTTATACCCAGACTTGTGGTGTTGACTATGATGAGACGTTTGCCCCCGTTGCTAAGATTTCTTCTATTCGTGTTTTGATTTCTCTTGCTGCTAATCAACATTGGCCTCTGTTTCAGTTAGACGTTAAAAATGCCTTTTTGCATGGTGACTTAGCAGAAGAGGTTTATATGGAGCAACTACCAGAGTATGTTGCTCAAGGGGAGTATCGTCACACTATTTGTCGCCTTAAAAGGGCCCTGTATGGATTGAAACAATCTCCACAGGCTTGGTTTGAAAAATTCTCTGAGGCGGCATTAAAATTTGGTCTTATCAGATGCCAGACCGATCATTCGGTATTTCACCAGCGCACTAAAGCTGGCTTCATTTTTCTTGTGGTGTATATAAATGATATTGTGATCACAGGTGATGATTCTGAAGGCATTGCTAAGTTGAAGTTGTTTCTGCAACATCGATTCCACACTAAAAACTTGGGTAAACTTAGGTATTTCATAGGTATTGAAGTTGCTAGATCTAAGAAGGGTATAAGTTTATCTCAACGAAAATATGTGTTGGACTTATTATAAGAAACAAGTATGTTGGGTGGTCGTCCGGTTGATGCTCCTATGAATTCAAATACAAAACTTGTGTCTGATGCGGGTGATCTATTTAATGACCCGGGCAGATTTCGTCGCCTTGGTGGGAAATTAATTTATCTCACTATAACTCGACCTGATATTTCATATGCAGTTAGCGTTGTAAGTCAGTTCATGGGAGCTCCTAGAATGCCACTTTGGATTGTTGTTCTTCGGATTATCCGATATCTCAAGCAAGCTCCAAGTTTTGGGTTACTATATAAATCAAATGGTCATCTCAGGGTGGAAGGTTTTACAGATGTTGACTGGGCTGATTCTCTTTCAGATAGGATATTTACTACAAGCTACTGCACATTTGTAGGAGGAAATCTTGTTACATGGAGAAATAAAAAGCAAACAGTGGTAGCTCGATCTAGTGCTGAAGTTGAGTACAGGGCAATGGCCCATACCACTAGTGAGTTAACATGGATACAACATTTTCTAAAAGAACTTGGGTTGACAGTTGAAGCTCCGACTCCATTATTCTGTGATAAATTGATAATCAAGCAGCAGTTCACATTATATTAAATCCTGTGTCTCATGAGAGGACCAAACATATTGAAGTTGATTGTCAATTCATTCGAGAAAAAATATTACGTGGGAGCATCTCTACTCCATTCGTAAAGTCTGAAGATCAATTAGCTGATATGTTTATCAAAGCATTGGGTCATAACCGGTTAAGGACTATCTGTTCCAAGCTGGGATTATTTGATATATATTCTTCAGCTTGAGGGGGAGTGTTAGAATGTTTATATATATATATATATATATATATATATACTTATGTTAGGTCATTATGTAATTACATATAGTTGGTAGGGCCCTTATGTTATTAGGTTAGTCTTGTATCTTTATATAAGCCTATGTAGGCTTAGGGTTTAAGTGATATATGAAATACACAGATGTCTGCACACTCTCTCTCTCTATCTCATGATTTTGAACAAATACAAACCACCAAAAGTCTAGGATGGGACAGTTGCCCATATTAGAGAAAGTATCCCACCTATAAACAGTAAACATTATATTGATCAATTTTAGACTTGACGAACCTCATATAGACTATGTGAAAGAGACAAACTCACTGTCATTGTTTATCTTTTATTGGAATCACCTCACTTACGGGAGGGAAAATAAAAAACTCACTTTTCAGAAAATTATACACGAGGTTGATGTCTGCAAGGAATCTTTGAGCTATGTTACATGGACTTTTCAAAAGTAGGTTTAGTACCCGTGTCGGATACACATTACACAGACATGGGTATGGGATATGTGTCCAACACTTTGGTTGGATAGGAACCTAAAAATGATGTCGTATAATCCAATTTCATTTTATTATTGTTTTAAAATGACTAAAACGCCTATATTGGACACCGTGTTATATAATTATTTTTGCTTAGAAAATAGAATAAAAATATTAAATAATATGAATATTTGACAATGTCCCTGTATCCTTTTGTTTTTGAATTTGACACGTCTAACACTATACATACCTGCACCTGACACACATACTCGAGTCCATGTAACATAGGCTTTGAGGGTAGGAAGTAGAGAAAGTAATCATTTGATACCATGTTTAAGGGAATAAGATGATAAGTTGAAATGCATCACAAAATTTATTATTTTGAGCTATTAGGTCAAAACAAAGTCCATTGCATCATGGTCAAGAAATTGGAAAATATCTCTGCAAGCAATCATACTAATTACTAAAGAATATAATATCATCCAAAAACACAGGCATGCCCAAGAACTTTAGTTCAAATTTATGCAGCTTTAGATTAATACAACAAACAAGAAGTTCCGAATCATGTAGGTTTACCGGTTGAGAAGGTTGAAGGCTAGTCGTTCCCTCAAAATCTGTGGTCGTGTCCACTGGTCGAGTAGGATAATTCACAACTTTCTCTCCAGGTTGGGAAGGTACCAAGGCACTGAGCATTGATGTTACATTTACCTAGTCAAAAAGAAGGAAATATGGACGAAATACATGCTTCCCCATGAAATCTACTAGGAGATCATTTTCTTTTCTATTGTCATGTAATTTGCACCATCAAAGGAACAAAATTCAATTAAATATAGATCAATAAAACAAATAAAAGGATGAAACACTTACTTACGTCCTGGTATAGGTTCCATCCGAAAATACCTAGGAAGCAAAAAATTGAGATGCTTAAAACAAGTTAATGATTTAATAAATCCACGAAGATAGTAGATTAAAATATTTATTGCCATATAAATTGCATGACTATTAGAAAATGTCAAACTAGAAACAGTTAAAAAAAGGCAAGCAATGTTATAGCTTTTCTCAATAAAATTCCAAAGTAGGCATAATTCTATGTTTCACACCTTATGTAATAACTACAGGTGTAATGTGCTTATATATTAAGGACCTCTTCATTGAATATAATGTTTATGAAATCTGAAATTCATATTATATAGCTCACCACATATTTTCATCAACAAGTTAATGAGAAGCTACATAAATAGTTACCAAAAAGGAGAAAGGTAAAAGAAGGATTTCATACTCATGTTCAAGAGCTTGTGCTGCTGTTATTCGCTTTCGAGGATCGTATCTGCAAATAAGATAAGCCTTAAATTGTTAAAGAAAAGGAATATATATATATATATATATATATATATATTTGTTTACAATTATAGAATGAGGGAAACAAAAATTTAGCCACAAAACTAACGGTTTAGAGAACTTGGAACAATTTATAAGAACATAAAAGTAAACCAAAAAAGATAAAAACACACAGAGAAGAGATTACCAATTCAGGCTTATTTGGATTTATTACAGGATCTTTCACACAATTGAAAACCAAAAATCAAGGTCAAATTGTTCTGGAATAACATCTAAAAGTTTTCCAGTGGGTGCTATTACAGATACAAAAATATATAAATAAATCTTTCTATGTTTAATTTTATAATTTAATAAAAAATAGAAATAAGAAAGGCAACTCACTGGTTGAGGGGGTAAACTTGAGCCCAACCCAAGGTACAAAATTCTCAACCCAAGCTCGAACCCAACTAGGCATTTCTTTCTAAACATGAGTTTAGGTTTGGGTTGGGCTTGGGTTCCTGATATTTCAATAAAAATACTATATAGTGGACTTGCCATTAGACAATAGTATTCGTCCAGATTTCCATGTGAATTATTTGTCACCTGTTAGAATGTATTTTACATATATATATATATATATATATATAGTACTAGTAGTAGTAGTAGGTATTTCACTAAAGGGCGATACAGTCATTTGGCTGTAATAGTAATTGTATATTCACATACGTGACAGAAGAAATAAGATTGACTCACAAAATTCCCCAAAAGCTTTATTTCTTATTTTCTTTTCTGTAAACCCTAAATCCAACATCACCTAACCGAGGCATCTTTGAGACTCCTATTTTGTTAGCTTGTGTTCTGACAGGAGTTACATCTTCAGTAACAGTACTAGTTTTCCCATCATTTCAGCCACTATGAATTGTATTAGATTTGGGATAATTTTTAGCATTAGAGTAATGTTTCTCATCCTGACCTTTTAACGTGATAGTATCAGCTTAACTCTCCAAAAGAGAGTTCTTCTCTAACTCGAATGCATGAGCAACATTTTATTGGTCTTTACTTTTGGAGAAGAGGCAAAAATAGATTAAATTAGGATTTCATCTAATTTGGTTTATTTTGCTTATTTTTATTCTTATTTTGGTAATGTTGTTAATTTTAAGGATATTTCAGTATTTTATTGTTTTAGGGTTTCTTAAGATTTAAGTTTTGGATTATTGGCTCAATACCAAACCTCCACAACCACTTATTGTGGAGGAGGGTGATATTGTGTCGCTTTGGGGAGGAGAGAGTGGGGGGTGGGGTTCAGCTGTGGTGTCTTTACCTGGAGGTGTTTGGAAAGACATTCGGAAGGGATGGAATGAGTTTTCTAAGCATATCAGATTCAAGAGTTCATGATGGTAGGGAGATTCGGTTTTGGGAGGATGTGTGGTGTGGAGACCGCACGTTAGCATGTTCCTTCCCTAGACTGTTTAGGATTGCGGTGGATAGGCATGCCTTGGTGGCTGAATGTTATCGTCTTGATAGCGGGAGACCGGTTTGGGATGTGCTTTTTCAGCGATCTTTTCAGGATTGGGAGATGGACTAGGAAGCACGGACACTCCAAAATGGGCGAAGAATCCATGTCCGACACGTGTCGGACACGGACACGCGTCGGACACGCCAAAAAACGTGTCTGGAATTTTTTTATTTTTTTTAATTTTCGGACACGGCTGGGACACGGCTCGGACACGCCACGGACACGGCTCAGACAGCTCGGACACGGCTCGGACACGGCTCAAACAGCTCGGACACGGCTCGGACACACTTTTCTGGAATTTTTTTTTTAAATTTTTAATGCTGATATGTTCTATTTTTTGTTTTGTACTACTCTAAAGATGCTGATATATATATATACTAACCTAAAGATGCCACAATTCGCCGTGTCCGTGTCCTAAAGATGCTGATATATATATATACTAACATATCAGTGATATATATATATATTCCAACCTAAACATATCAGTGTTTTTTTTTTAAATTATTAATGCTGATATATGTATATATACTATTCGCCGTGTCCGTGTCCTAATTTTTTTGGATTTGCCGTGTCGCCGTGTCCGTGTCGTGTCGTATCCGTGTCCCGTATCCGTGTCCGTGCTTCTTAGGAGATGGATAATGTGTTTGGTTTTTTAGAGTTGATGTATAGCCGGGTGATCCAGGGAGGAGGTAGGGATTCTCTTGTTTGGATTTCTTTTCCTAGGGGAATGTTTAGTGTGAGATCTTTTTTCAGATGCCTTGTGGACTCGGATCGGGTGGTATTCCCTTGGAAGGTTGTGTGGCGCACTAAGGCGCCATTGAAAGTGGCCTTTTTTGCTTGGATGGTTGTGTGGCGTAAAATTTTGACACTGGATAATTTGAGAAGGAGAAAGCTTATCACGGTGAATTGGTGTTGCATGTGTAAGTGCACTAGCGAGTCGGATGATCATCTTCTATTGCATTGTCCAGTGGCGGTTGATTAATGGAACCTTTTGCTAGGTTTATTTGGAGTTTGTTGGGTCATGCCTAGATCTACGAGAAGCCTGATGGGCACCTGGAGATGGAGTTGGGTGGAAGCACAGGCTCAAGGGTTCTGGAGGATGGCGCCTTTATGTCTTTGGTGGTGTTTGTGGAGGGAGCGGAATAGAAGATCCTTGGAAGGAGAGGAATCTTCCATCAGTGTTTTGAAATCTTCTGTTATTAGCTCTCTTTGTTTTTAGGGTTTAGGCAGACTCTGCTCTTCTGCTAAGGAGACAGTTGAGTTTTTGTCTTCCCTGGGGCCTTAAGATACCCAGGTTTTTGTGGTTTTGTTAGGGACGTGTTTCCCTTTTGAACACTTTTTTAATGAATTGCTTATTTATCAAAAAAAAAAATTAAAAAATTAAAAAATAAAAGTTTTGGATTATTGGAATATTATTGTGATTCAAATTCTTCTTGTTATCCTCTCTCCACTGTTCTTGCTCTCCTTCAACTTCAATCTATCAAGTTTATCTTTTCAATGTCTTCTAACCCCCTTCATATGTCTTCTCACCTCCTTCTAGTCATATCTCATCTCCTTCCTTCCCATCCCCTTCTTTCTTTCTAATTTTACTATTACGGGCATTTTCTATTGACACAATGATATAGGACTATTGTACAATATTGTATGAGTTGTCACACGTATACAGTTAGTATTGTATGAGTTGTCACCTACCCCTCATTACCAAATATAAAATTACCATGTATAGGGTTTTCTTGTTCTCCACTCACCTACTCCTGTAGCTTCTCCTATATAAACACCATTGTATTATTGTATTATTGTATTACTGACTCAATAACATATAAGTTTTTATATACTCTCTTTTACTCTCTCTCTCTCAACATGGTATCAAAGCATAAATCGATCCCTCTTTAAATTTTTTTTTTTTTTAGTCTTATGTAGACTCCGATCTTGATTCCATCTCGGCTTTCTCTCAATCTCGTCTCGGCAATCTCTACTCGATGATCTCAATTCTCGTCTCAGCAATCTCTCTCGAAGTCCTCCTCAGCTCTCTCCTCGATAATTTCTCTCGAGTTCATCTCGGATAGATCTTGGTTCTCTTATCTCGGCTCCTCTCGCTACTATATCTTATTTGTTCAACAGCTCTTGTAATGGATACTAAGGAATCTCATCTTCTTCGGTCAATCACCAGCACTAAACTGGTAAAGCGTGAGCGTGCAAATCAACCCTTTCCTCCACTGCTAATATCGTTACTTCAAGTAATGTATGTCTCTATGCTTCATCTTCTACACCTTAGATCATTAATTCAGGGGCATCCAATCACATGACAGGTAACCCATCTCTTCTTTCAGATATTTCTCATGTTTTCTCACCATTGGTTGTTACTATAGCAAATAGTGCCAAATCACCTATTCATGGAATTGGTACCTTCCGCACTTCGGGTCTCACTTTTTCATCAGTTTTATATATCCCTCAATTTTCATTCAATTTATTGTCAGTTCGTAAAATCATATCAGATTAAAATTGCTCAGTTACTTTTTCGCCTTCCCGTTGTGTCTTTCAGGATCTCAAGAAGAAGAAGACGATTGGTGGGGGTTTGGAGAAGGATGGTCTTTACTACTTCCAACCAACTACTATTCCGACAACTCTACCTTCCACCTTCTTCAACTTACCAGTGGCATTGCCGCCTTGGACATCCCTCTTCAAATAGTCTTCGAGCCTTGGTCCCTTCTTTAGTTGATTTTTCTAAGTTTAATTGTACTACTTGCGAACTTAGTAAACATCATTGGGCTACTTTTAAGTCTCGTTTTGATAAAAGTTTAAAACTTTTTGAGTTAATACATTCAGATGTTTGGGGACTAGCTCATACTACTGGTTTATTTAGTGCTCGTTATTTTGTGTCACTTATTGATGATTATTCATGTTCAACTTGGGTTATATTCTTAAAGATAGATCTCAAGTATTCTCTATTTTTCAATCCTTTTATACTAAAATTCAAGATCAGTTTAATGCAAAATTACTTGTTCTTAGAACTGACAATGCTTTTGAATATAAACTTAATGTTTTTCAAAAGTTTCTTGAGTCGAGGGGCATTATCCGTCAAACATCTTGTGTTGATACCCCTGAACAAAATGGAGTTACTGAACGGAAGAATGGCCCACTCCTAGCTATCATTCGTGCCTTTAACAATTCAAATGCATGTTCCAAAACATTTTTGGGCAGATGCAGTTCTGGTTGCTGCTTATCTTTTAAACCGAATACCTTCTAGAGTCCTTTAAGGAAAATCACCCTTCCAAATGATGTTTTCTAACAAAAATCCTTTTTCCATTCCTCCAAAGGTGTTTGGGTGTGTCTGTTTTGTTCATAATCTAAGCTCGGGACGAGACAAACTTGGTCCTTTGTGCTGACAAATGTATTTTCTTAGGTTATTCTCGCACTCAAAAGGGATATAAATGTTACAGTCCAACTCTTCGTAAACATTTTGTGTGCAGATGTAACTTTCTTTGAGGATGTTC